AAAACAAATTTATCTTCGATGTTGTTCCCTCGAGCCCACCCTCCACCCGGACATTCCGAGAGTGGAGTGAGTTTACGTCCGGAGTTTTTAGTGCTCGAGGGATCCATCATCATTAATTTCTTTGTTTTGGTAGATAACCGACTGCATAGCTTAGGTGTGGAAACATGCGGACATTTATAAGACCTGAAAAGCTAGCGGGTGGTACTGCCTCGGTCGACTGGTCCTTGTCTACCACCTTCTTTTTACGTATTAGTGATGTTAAATAGACCTAAAGTGGCCCGTGAGGTGAACAGTCCCTAATTCCGATTTTAATGATGTGAAAATACAAAACAAATATCTTTAATCTGCCTATAGTTGGTCTCAACTCAACGAATAAAGAACAACAAGTCCTTGCAATACACTTCTTAGAAGTTGAAGCATTGTTGATTTTATCGTGTGGTAAAGTGTGATTTCAAGGCCAACTATGAAAATATTAGTTCTCGTAAAATAACTTAGATTTGACAATGTCAATATATAACATTGAAGTTTTTGAAGTCAGGATCAAAAACTCTATCCAGCTGGACTAATATCCAATAAGAAAAAATAAAGATGGTGATTGAAGACAAGAGACAAAACGTCATAGTCAAAATTATGCCGTATTATCAAGAAGAAAAAGTTTCAATGGTAGTGTACTTTTTATTTTGAAATCCCATATCTAATAAAGTCAGGCAAAAATAAAAACGTTTTAGGAAAATACGAGATCTCCGGAAATACTGGGAATTGCGAAACTTTCTAAGTGCAATTTTTATAGTTACCTAAATGTAGAGCTTTGCCACTATTAACCGACTTCATATCTCTAACCGTTACCGAGATCCCAATCGTGCGAGTCGAAATTGAAAAACTTGGTATAAGACGACGTAAAATATATTTTTGTATAGAAACTTATTCGATTGCGCCAGCAGAAACTTCTCTGTAGATGTGTGATTCCTTTAAAACAAAAATTGGTACGACACTGTGCTTTCCAGTGTGAATATTTTTTCTGGTTAGCAGTTACCATTTTGTCGTTTTAATTAAAAACAATGCACATGAGGAGGAAATGGTAAGGAAGGGTTTTTATGTAAAAATAATTCAAGCTAAATACAAAAAATATTCACTTTGAAAAACATCAGTGACGTACCCATCTTTTTGTAAGAAACGTTTGCTGTGACGCCACTGATAATAATAATAATAATATTTATTCACTCAATGTACAAGGATAACAAACAACATGAGTAAATAAATATAAAATCAAAACAGGCCCAATAGAAGGCATCGCCTGTACATGGACCAATAATTTAAGTTGAAACTGTAGAATGCAAATGACAAAAAAGGACAAAAATTAGCTACAGTAGATTATGTATTTAGTTGATGTTCGTATTTATGAGTTTATGAATTTCAGTCCTAGATATAGAATGTAGCCACTTTTTTAAATTTCTTTTGAAACAATTTCCGAAACGTAAATCTTTTAAGTCTTTAGGTATGTGCCACGAATTTTGTATGTGGTATAATGATTATGTTTAATTTTTTGGTCGGTGTTTACAAATTTATGGTAGTGAGTGATGCTGTGTAAGAAATAAAGCTGACTTATATCATACATTCGAACATCTGCGTATAATTTTTCAGTGGGATAAAGTTTCGGTTTTTTAAATATCATTTTTAGAATACTTTTTTGCAAAACATCTAAATTATAGATATGTGAGGAACATGCAGTTGCCCATGCTAATATACCATATGTGAGATGAGGCTCAATCAGTGCATGGTATAATGTTCGAAGACATTTTTCTGTCAATATATTCCCAAGGTATTTAATTTTGTAGGATACAAATCTAACTTTCTTTAAAATATAATTGACATGGATGTCCCATCGTAAGTGAGGATCCAAGACCACTCCAAGGTATTTTATGTTGGGCACTCTATTAATTTGCATTTTTTGATCATTAATATTGAAGGAGAAATTTGTGTAATTTGGCAGATGTCTAGCATAAGATCCAAATGGTAAAACATGTGTTTTAGAGCAGTTAATGCTTAATTTTCTACTGTTAAACCACTGAATAATTTTGATAAAATCATTTTCAATTACATTTTTCAGATCAGACCAGTCAGTGCCTTCATATAATATTGCAGTATCATCTGCAAAACTAGTTATTTTGCCAACACAATTAATTTGGAAAATATCATTTAAATATATATTGAATAACAGCGGACCTAAGACAGTTCCTTGAGGGACACCACACTTAATATACATTTCTTTACTAAATGATCCTGATTGTGGGCGATTTGACAAATAACCTTCGATCAGTGAGTACGCGTCTCCTCTGAAACCAATTCTCTCCAATGCTTCTAATAATAATTTGTGATTAACTGTGTCGAAAGCTTTCTTTAAATCAACAAAAATGTAGATTGAAGGGATTCTGTTATCAATATTTTGATGTATTTGATTTACAATTTTAGTTATTGCGTCCGATGTAGCCTTCCCTTCTGTAAATCCATATTGATTTTCACTTAAAATTTTGAATTTTGTGAGGTATCGAATCATTCTAGTAGATACAACTTTTTCAAAAACCTTTGCTACACTGGATATTATTGATATTGGACTATACGTTAGTTGTTAACATCTGTTTTTGTTCCTGATTTATGTTTCGGTATTATATTACCTTTTTTTAAAATTGAGGGATATATGCCAGATTCAAAGCATTTGTTGATTAGGTAAGTGAGTGGTTCTGTTATGTCCTCGGCTATAATTTTCAAATGCTCGCTTTTAATACCATCGAACCCAGGACTTTTCCGATTTTTTAAGGACATAACAGTGGTGTATACTTCATATTGCTCGACATTATCCAAAATAAATGAGTTCAAAGTTCTTTTTGGATGCTGAGTATTTTGTACATTTGCTTGTATATTACTTGCTAAATTTTCGCCTATGTCAGTAAAGAATTGTACAAATTCATCGCATATCTGTTGAGTATTTTTTAGTGCTGTTCCCGATGTTGAATTTAACTCAGTGACACACTCTTTAACTTTTGTTTTCCCAGTAATCTCATCAATAGTTGTCCAAAGCCGCTTAGGATCATTTAAGTTATTATTCAATTTATTTAGGTAATGTTTTCGTTTGGTTTGCCTTACAAGCTCTATAAATTTATTTGTATATTGGTTGTAGCAGTCGGTATTCTCTGTAGTTGGCGTTAGTTTCATTACATTATATAGTCTTTCTTTTTCTATTGCCGATGTTATTAATCCTTTGGTAATCCAGGCATTTCTGCTTTCTCTTTGTGACTAATTATTACTTTATTGGTACTAATATCTATTAGTTTTTTTATTTTCTCTATGATGGTACAATACAATAAAAATACGTGACTTTAAATCTTCTTATAACATAACATGCCAAAATAAAAATTATATCTAAAGTACTTTCGAAGGTATAAAGTAAAAACGATTATTTTCTGAAACATTTTACAGCCTCTAACTAAAATTTTCTGATAAGCTATTAGCATATCATTAAGGAACACTTTGTGGCATAGGTTTGATGAAATTTTGATCTAGAGCCTACTACAAGCGTTAGAACTAATACTCTTTTAGTCTGTGACCTTATGCAGTAATGAATGCTCATTATACAGGGTGTTCAGAAAGTTGGAAATTTGATTTTTCAGAGACAATTACGCTGCTGATGGAAGTACTGACCTCTAGTTAGATAAGAAACTCTGCCACCCACTCGTACTGTGGAATACATTCCTTAGACGACAAATCATAAATAAACAGATTGATTTACCTACACGACGCACGGGTACGAGGGATGTCTTTTAAGTTTTGCATATGGAACACGGTAGTATTCTCGACGAAGATTAATACACATCTGCATGCGCTCGAACCAATTTTCGAAGCACTTATTCCACTCGTTTGCTGGCAGATCAAAAACGGCATTTTTGAATGCGTCAACTGCTTTTTCTGGTGACTAGCACCTTTGACCACGCAGTCTGTTTTCAATTTTCTGGAAAGTAAAGAAATCGTTAGGACTTAGATCGGCACTATATGGAGGATGGTCCAATAAGTCCACGTTTTCTTCCGTTAATACTGCCTGGTTTTTGGGACGTGTGCGAGCTTGCATTGTCTTGGTGGAGGATGATTCTTTTTTCGGGGTTGATTTTTCGAAGCTCGGTGATGACTTTTGGCAAACAAATGGTGGTATACCAATTCGCAGTAACAGTTCCTTGCTCATTAAGAGGAATTGTTGCAATATGACCCGCTTTTGACACAAATGTCGCGACCATCTTTTTCGAAACAGTTCGAGAACGGATGACTTTTGTTGGCTTTTCTTCACCTTGGAACACCCAAACAGCTGACTGTCGTTTATTTTCTGGTTCATAACAGTAAATCCACGATTCATCACCACTAACAATGCTGTACACATGTTTTGAGTTTCTGGAATAGAAACGGTAAAGCGTTTTTTGACACTAATTAACCCTGGCTGCTTTCTGCTCTTCAGTCAACAGGTGGGGTATCCAACGAGAAACTAATTTTCTTACTCCTAATTCTTCATGTAAATTTTTTGAATTGAGGTCTTTGAGATCTTCAAGGACGCCTCAATCTCGCGATATGTCACATGTCTATCTTCAATGATGAGTTTGCGCACAGCATCGACGTTTTCCTGGGTGACTGCCGTTTTTGGTGCACCCACCCTGGGATCGTCGCTAAGACTCACCCGTCCACGTTTGAATTCTCCATACCAACGGAAAATTGTCGACTAATGTGCTGCGTCGTTGCCGAAAACATACTGTAACTCAGCAAGGCATTCTTGTTGCGATAATTGTCTCTGAAAGTTGTAATAAATTATGGCACGAAAATGTTCTCGGTTGAGTTCCATTTTTCTAATTACTTGGTGACACTTAATTCACTGTAGTGAGAACACTGCACGTATTTCATGACTTTAGTATATGATGCTATGAGGAAAGCTTGCTTTTTTACAAGAACCATGGTCCGTTTATTACGAACAGTCCGATACGTGGTATACAGACACGCGGACGCGTATCTTAAGAGGCAAAGGAAACATATATAATTCATATCAAGAAGAAATGTAGATTAGCACAGCAAAGTGCTCTATTTTAGTAATCTTTCCCATGGTGACTGCATAAATCAATGCTTCCACATGAAACCTTTATGATAATAAATAACGTTAATGGTAGCTCATTTGCTCTGATAAAACTGATTAACGCTGTTTACGAGCAGACCAGAGTAGAACGAGAAACATAAAAGTAAAAATGATACGGATAATAAATCATGTAGAGGAAAAGAGTATAAAACGTATTTTTTTCGTTGTCATTTCACCGCCTACAGATTGCGTAATACTGCTAGCTCTGGTCGTCGCGAGCCAGCAATGCGAGTTGATTGCAATTCGATAATGCAGATTATTGACTTTTTGTTACATTTATAGTACAAGTCACAATACTCGCAATATTCGTACAAGTTAGAGCTTCTGGAATCGTTGCTAGCTGGGCATATCTCCAGTAAAATGTAGGCCTAGGCCATGGTCGCCCGCATGAATTTTCTTTATCAGCGAGAGGTAACTTTCGAAATAAGACAGCGCGAAGCGCCCTCTACCGCAAGGATACACCACAACAATGAATCACAGTCTGCCGGCTGGAACTGTATATTCCGCGAATTGGAGGCCCAGACGATTTTAGCTGTGTAGTAGATGTGACCTACTTGTCATTTCGTCCGACAGCTGTTTCGTGCCTTTGGCTACTCCTCAGCATGGTCTAGGCTTGAGTCTTCACTGTCCAAAGTGGGTGATCAATAGAAATGAGACAGCGCGGAACTCAGTCACTAGAATCGATCACTGCGAAACAGTTGCTATGCCTTCGCTCGTTGTCCGAGGGATCCAAACCTAGACCATACTGAGGAGTAAGCATGAAATAGTTGTCTATGGTTGGCTGTTATTGGTTAGACCGACGAAAGCAGATCACAGGGTTGCAATACTGTGGGATTTTCACGTCGCTTGGGGAAACTTTGGGGGATAAAATGTTTTGGGGTTTTTTTGGGGGGAAAATAAAATGGTTTGATATTTTTGGGGTATTTTATTTAATATTTGACTACAAAAAACTGTTAACTACTATATAACAACGCCACACTCATCTCCTAAAAACATTCACGCTGACCCATGTCTGAACCTTTATGTCAATTGTAGGTTGGTAAACATGAAGCCATAGTCGTAGAACACAAAATAAGTTGTGAGCTGGCCGGATGATGAGCTATCTTTGTCTCATACGCAGTGACATATAAATCCGAACACCCAGTTTAAATGGTTTTATTTTAATAAAAGTTGGTGAATGTATTTATCTTACTGTAAATGACAAGTGAAAAAATGTTCAGCCTTATCAGTTGGACATTCCGGTTTTTATACTGCTTTTTTTTAATTCACTAACGCTCTAAAAATGAATATTTCAGCCACAGTAAAGAATCAACGTTGGCGGATTTTGGTTCTTGACATCCTTTACGATCGGTTACGATGCCTAGAGTACGGAGACCTGTACGATTTCGTCAACTTTGTGAGTTTGATAAGGGCCGTATAGTGGGACTTCGGGAAGCTGGAATTTCTTTTCGGGCAATTGCAGTTAGAGTGCAGAGAAGTGTAGACACTGTGGTTAGGTGTTGTCAGGCATGGCTTCGAGAAGGCCGTACGCAAAGAGCAAGAAGCACTGGACGCCGCCGTAGAACAACAGACCGTGAAGATCGCCGCCTAAGGTTATTGGCCTTAAGGGACCGTTTCTCCACTACCAGGTCCATTGCAGATGAATGGTTTGCAGAACACGGAAGACCTATTGGCATACGAAGTGTTTACCGACGAATGAGAAGTTTTGGCTTGTTTTCATACCGGCCACACTGGGTCCTCCCTTTAACTCGAGAACACCGATGTAATCGCCTTGAGTGGTGCAGACAACGGTCACTCTGGGATCAGGAATGGAACAGTATTGTCTTTAGTGACGAGTCTCGATTTTGTTTAAGCATGCACGATGGTCGTGCCAGGGTTAGAAGGCGACGTGGTGAAAGGAGGAATCCACAGTTTTTTGTTGAAAGACATGTTCATCACACTGTTGGAGTTATGGTTTGGGGTGCTATAGCTTATGGTTCCAGGTCACCTTTAATCTTCATCAGGTAACATGAACGCGCAGCGTTATATCCACGAAGTTCTAGAACCCCATCTTTTACCCTATCTTGACACCCTGGCAGATCCAACTTTCCAACAAGATAATGCCCGACCACATGTTGCAAGAGTCACAATAGACTTCTTTCAACATAATGATGTCACATTGTTACCATGGCCACCAAGATCTCCCGACTTATTCCCAATTGAGCACGTGTGGGATATGATGGGTAGGAGATTGCTCAATTTGCAACGTCCTCCTCAGACTCTAGAAGCACTTTGAGAGGAGTTGGTGGTTGCCTGGAATGAGATACCACAGGAGGACATTGACCACCTGATCAGAAGCATGCATCCACACATTATTAAAGGTCAAAGATTTTAAAGCAGTGCAATCATTTTGAAATTTTTATCATTTACTTATTATGCTTCATTAAGTACTTATACAAAATTTTATTAAAATAAAACCATTTAAACTGGGTGTTCGGATTTATATGTCACTTAGTATAATTATTATTGAATAAATGATTATATCAAATAATTACACAAATTTATCATAATATATATCCGTTTAAATAAACTGAATTTAAAACCTTAAATTTATATAGTTCTAGTAGGTAGGTTTTGTTGAGAAAACTGAATATACATTAATTTATTATTTCATTCATCATATACGATTGTTTTTGTATCCACAGTTTTATACGTTTTTTGTATGTATAGTAACTAGTGTGTTGTCTACATTCATCAGGCAGAAGATTATAGACTCGTGGGCCTATATATTCGAATGACCTTTGCCCAATTTGGTTATTCATTCTTCGGGTCTGGAGTGATAGTGTTTTACCCCTTGTCTCATGGTTATGTTCTGGTTTCAGCAGAGTATGTTTGTAATTATAAATAAATAACAGCAAGTACATACAATATAATTGTCTGGCACTAAAAAAACAGGAATTCTGATATACTTTTTCGGTTGCGTAGAGAATGTTAACACCTAAAATAATTTTCAAAATCCATTTTTGTACAACTTCAAGTTTCTTCAATGCCATAACTTAATAGTCATTGGACTAATGCATAATATATTGAAATCAATTGTTTTGTAGATAAGAAATCTTTAAAGAACTTGAATCTTGGTATTAGTGACCTTAATTTATTTGTAAGATACTCAACCTGAGCATGCCATTTAAGGCAGTCATCAATCATTATCCCTAAATATTTTACTTTAGACGCTCGTTTTATCTTTGTACCATTATTATTTTTAATATCTAACGATAAGAAATTTGGAACAGTTTTAAGACTATACTAAGTGACATATGAATCCGAACACCCAGTTTAAATGGTTTTATTTTAATAAATTTTGTATAAGTACTTAATGAAGCATAAATGATAAAAATTTCAAAATGATTGCACTGCTTTAAAGCCCTTTGACCTTTAATAATGTGTGGATGCACCCTGATGTGCTACGCATTCTCCAACGCGCCTAGGCATGCTTCTGATCAGGTGGTCAATGTCCTCCTGTGGTATCTCATTCCAGGCAACTACCAACTCATCTCGAAGTGCTTCTAGAGTCTGAGGAGGACGTTGCAAATTGAGCAATCTCCTACCCATCATATCCCACTCGTGCTCAATTGGGGATAAGTCGGGAGATCTTGGTGGCCATGGTAACAATGTGACATCATTATGTTGAAAGAAGTCTATTGTGACTCTTGCAACATGTGGTCGGGCATTATCTTGTTGGAAAGTTGGATCTGCCAGGATGTCAAGATAGGGTAAAAGATGGGGTTCTAGAACTTCGTGGATATAACGCTACGCGTTCATGTTACCTCTGATGAAGATTAAAGGTGACCTGGAACCATAAGCTATAGCACCCCAAACCATAACTAAAACAGTGTGATGAACATGTCTTTCAACAAAAAACGGTGGATTCCTCCTTTCACCACGTCGCCTTCTAACCCTGGCACGACCATCGTGCATGCCTAAACAAAATCGAGACTCGTCACTAAAGACAATACTGTTCCATTCCTGATCCCAGAGTGACCGTTGTCTGCACCACTCAAGGCGATTACGTCGGAATTCTCGAGCTTAAAAGGAGGACCCAGTGTGGCCGGTATGAAAACAAGCCAAAACTTCTCATTCGTCGGTAAACACTTCGCATGCCAATAGGTCTTCCAGTGTTCTGCAAAGCATTCATTTGCAATGGACCTGGTAGTGGAAAAACGGTCCCCTAAGGCCAATAATCTAAGGCGGCGATCTTCACGGTCTGTTGTTCTACGGCGGCGTCCAGTGCCCCTTGCTCTTTGCGTACGGCCTTCTCGAAGCCATGCCTGACAACACCTAACCACAGTGTCTACACTTCTTTGCACTCTAACTGCAATTGCCCGAAAAGAAAGTCCACCTTCCCGAAGTCCCACTATACGGCCCCTATCAAACTCACTAAGTTGACGAAATCGTACAGGTCTCCGTACTCTAGGCATCGTAACCGATCGTAAAGGATGTCAAGAACCAAAATCCGCCAACGTTGATTCTTTACTGCGGCTGAAATATTCATTTTTAGAGCGTTAGTGAATTAAGAAAAAGCAGTATAAAAACCGGAATGTCCAACTGATAAGGCTGAAAATTTTGTCACTTGTTATTTACAGTAAGATAAATACATTCACCAACTTTTATTAAAATAAAACCATTTAAACTGGGTGTTCGGATTTATATGTCACTTAGTATATTATAGAAAGGTAAGAAAAATGTTTTGCTAAAATTCATTGTTAAAATTGTGAAAAAATCTGATTATATTTTCAAAGTCTAACTCTGCTGTTTTTCGAACTGATTTCCATGATTTGGCCATGTAATAAATATACAAATTTTAGTCCAACCAGATTCTTTGGGGGCACGCCCCCCCAGCCATCCTGCCTGTGGGGGTATGTGTATAGGGAGGTCGAAAATCTCTTTTCCCGTAACGGTTTGGCGGGGAGTTAATCTAATAACCTTAGCGTCGATGCAATATATTTCATGGTGCTTCATCCA